TTCAAAATGTGACTCTCGCCGTAGCGCGGCACACATTCGTTTCAACAAGCTGCAAGAGCTTCACGAATTGAGGGCGGCTTGTTTTCAAAATGTGACTCTCGCCTTAGCACCGCGCACATGGGCGGGTCGTTTTCAAAATGTGGCTCTCGCCTGAGCGCCGCGCGCATTCGTTTTACAACTTCGCAAAAGTTGCACGGATTTCCATCATCAACGTACCAGAAAATTGCGTTTTGGAAGGAGTAGGATTATGCCAGTGCAGCAATTACGTTGGTTCTCTGTGTTGAAGGTTAAGGATGGCGTTCTGGCACGATTCAGGATCGTCAAGACGTAGTCGCTTCAGAGATGCAGGGCGGGTGGTTTTCAAAAAGTAGCTCTCGCAGAGCGCCGCGCACACTCGTTTCCAAAACTTGCAAGAGTTTCACTGGTTGAAGGCGGGTGGTTTTCAAAATGTGGCTCTCGCCTTAACGCCGCGCACACTCATTCTAAATGATACCAAAGAAAAAAAAACCTCAGAATTTTCTGTGGGCTGTAGGGCTATAGGGCTGTAGGGCTGTAGGCTTATACGGCTGTAGGGCAATAGGGCTATAGGGCTGTAGGGCTATATGGGCTATTGGGCGATTGGGCTATAGGGCTATAGTGCTATAGGCCTATAGGACTATAGGGCTATAGGGCTACAGGGCCATAGGACTATAGGACTATGGGACTATAGGGCTATAAGGCTGTAGGGCTATAGGGCTATAGGGCTATAGGGCCACAAGGCTATAGGGCAATAGGACTATAAGGCTATATGGGCTAAATGGGCTATAAAGGGCTATAAGGCGATAAAGCACCCGGGCACCTCCGGGCACCCCCGGGGACCTCTGGGCACCCCCGGGCACCGGGCCACCCGGGCACCCGGGCACCCCCGGGCACCCGGGCACCCGGGCCCGGCCACCGAAATCGGCGACGTAGTTCACCTACACATATGAATCCGCTAGGACCCCTACACAAGCTCTGTTTGGTGAAAATTCGCAAAAGAGTTGCACATATTGAGGGCGGGTGGTTTTCAAAACGAGGCTCTCGCCTTAGCGTCGGGCACATTCGTTTTCAAAATTTGCAAGAGTTTCACGGATTGAGAGCGGTGTGAGAGAGAACGCGTTTCACGGGCGCTTGCCTTGGGAACATTCGGCGGCGCGTTTCCAAACCGGGGGGTGGGCCCCCCCCCCAACACTCGGCGCCGTCGATCAAAGCCAGAGGGACTCCCCTCCCCCCCAAAACCCCCTCCCATCCCAAACCCCACCCCCCGGCCAGAGGGGGGGGGTCAAGCCCCCCCCCCCCTCGGCGCCGGCGCTGGCGGCCGCCAGCAGCGCCCACGGCGGGGACGCCACTCCCGCCGCCTTCCGCTGGCCTTCCACCAGCTTCCGCTGGCCGAGTCGCCGGGAGTTTACCCGGGCCAGCCGCCGCCGGCCTCCCACGGAAGGCAAGATAAGCTGAAGGCTAGGGCATTTCTCGAGCTTGCCACACCGAACACAAAGGGGATGGGAAGAACCGAGGGGGCACGAAGAGGATGGAGCAGGGAGGTGCAGAGAGGGAGAAGGGCAGATGGCAGGAGGCACGAAGGAGGAGGCTACACAGATGACGAGGGAACGGTGATGGAACAGCCGCAGAGAGCAGCAGGAGAAGGTCGATGAACGGAATGGGCTCTCCATTCCTCCTCCTACTCCCCCTGACTGCTTTGCTCGTTCAGATTATCTTGCTTGGAGCTTGCCTAGGGGCTGGCTGTGATCTGCTGGGGCCTCCAGGGGGCTCCAGTAGCTTTCTGGGTAGCGATTTGGGCGTCTCGTGGGAGCCTCGTCGGACTTTCAGCTATTAGACTCTTCTTCGGCCATCTGGAACCGCTCGAATATAGCAGGCTGGGACGGCATGGCCAACCTGACGTCAATGAGCAAATGTCGTCGAGGACGGCATGATGGGTACCAGACAAGGGTGGAGGAGATATGAGGCGGGAGGCGGGAAGAGAAGGGATTGTTTACTGCAGAAGCGCTCATGTCAATGAGAACGCGGCAGAACATATGCTGCTCCGGTGGCCTTCCAGCGTGCGCAGGCACTTGCCAGAACCTACACACCAAATCTTTGCCGTGCAGTCGTCCGACGCCGTCAGCACTTCGTGCCCGTCTGGCGAAAAAACAGCGGACCTCATGAAGCTCTGGTGGCCCTCCAACACACGGAGGCATTCACCAGTGCCTGCGCACCAAATCTTCGCCATGCAGTCGTCTGCGGCCGTCAGCACCTTCCGCGCGTCCCGCGAGAATACGGCCGAGATGATGTAACTCTCGTGCGCCTCAACCAGCGTGCGCAGGCACTCCCCCGAGTGCCTGGACCAGAGCTTGACGGTGCGATCCGTCGACGCGGTCACTACCTCGAGCCCGTCCGAGGAGAACACGGCGCTGTTCACGAATCCTCGGTGGCCCGCCAGCGTGCGAAGGCACACCGAAGACTCCGCGGACCAGATCTTGGCCATGAAATCCTCCGAGGCCGTCAGCACCAGTTGCCCGTCTGTAGGGCAACGAACACTGACATCAACATAAAAGCTCGGAGGTCCGTGCGGATTCCTCGGATCGGCGCTCGATCCCCCTCCCTGGCGCGCGAAGCGCGCCAGGGGCGGCGCCGCAGGCGCCGCCAGGGGGCCCCAGCGACGATCCCAGAGATCCGGGCGGACCTCCGAGTTGTTATGCTTATGTCGTTCTTCGTTCCCCCCGTCTGGCGAGAACACCGCGGACCTCACGACGCTCTGGTGGCCCTCCAGCGTTCGAGAGCACTGCCCGGAGCCCACGGACCAGAGCTTCGCGGCGCGGGCCGAGCTGGTCAGCACCCACTGTCCGTCGGGCGAGAACACGGCAGACATTACGGGCACGGGTCTCCAGCCCCGGTGGCCCTCCAACGTGCGCAGGCAATCCCCGGTGTCCACAGACCAGATTCGCCGACTCCGTGCGGGGTCACCAGGCATGTGAGTCTTCGGCCCCCTCCCAAGCCCCTCCCGAGTGGACTGAGACTTCCAGCCATTGACAAAAAGACCTGCCCTGCACGGACGGGCCCGTCCAGTGCCCGATTTGGGCTCCGACCCCCCAAGGCTCCAGACACGCAACAACACAGCAGGCACCTCCGATAAGAAGCAATACAACAAGAAATCAAGGGGACACTTTTTTGTCTGCGGCCGCTTGGCTCAAGCAGCGATCAAGCGACGGAGAGGCGCTTCCGAGGCGAAGCGAGGCAATAGAGCAGGCGCGGCGGGAGGAGGAATGGGAGGCCGCGCTCAGCACGTGCAGTCCTCTTGTGCGCGAGCGCCATGAGGCGAAGTCCCTGAAGCGCCGGAACGCGAAGCCCGAGAACCCTGGAGCAATTGAAGGGGACCTGGGACGCACAAATAGATAGACACAAATAACAGGATTCCCCATGTTTCCTTGTATGTCCTGGGTGTTCGTCTTCCCCCCCGCTTCCCGTATTTTCCCATACTTTCTGGCGAATCGACGATGAAGTGTGTCTGTGTGTTTTCCCCTCCTTAGGCACATCCTTCCTCGACTCTGCGCTGCGCGGGGATGTCTGCAGGTTGCCACAGGCGCCGCGTGCGGCCCCAATCGTGGGATCAGAAGCTATCGTGGGGCACCCGCTGGCAGGCACGCCTCTCGCGTGCGACGTGCCCACTGCTGATGGGCAAATGTTCCACCACCACCACCACCACCACCACCACCACCACCATACGTAGGTAGAACGGGGGAGAAGGGACGATGGAGAGGTTTTCCTCCTCCTCCACCTCCTCCTCCTCCTCCTCCTCCTCCTTCTCCTCCTCCTCCTCCTCCCTCCTCCTCCTCCTCCTCCTCCTCTTCCTCCCCCTCCCTCTCCCACCTATGGTAATGGTGGTGGAAAATCGGCCCATCAACTGCACCGCAACGTGCCCCCCCGCCCCCAGAGACCCCCGAGGCCCTCCCACGAGGCCCCGTGCGCTTTGACATCACACCTGCGCGCGCCACCCTTCGCCCAGGGCAACTTCCGAAAGCCCTCTGGGCGCTGGGTGCCCCGGGTGCCCGTCAAGGGGGCACAGTAGCCCCTCCAGAGAGCGCCAGATGGGTACAGGCCGTCTCAAGACGGCCCAAAAGCAGCCCAAGACCGCCAGCGTTCGTTCGCCTGACCCGCCCGTTTGGGTCCGCCTGCCCGACCCGCCCGTTCGATTTCTTGGAAGCCTGCCCGCCCGCTTCGGTCCGCCCGCCCGAACTGTCTGAACAAAACGACCTCCAGCAAAGACGACCGCCAGCGAAGACGACCGCCTGTGAAGACGACCGCTGGCGAAGGCGACCCCGAAGATGACCGACCGCGAAGACGACCGCTGGCGAGGACGACCCTAGCAAAGCTGACCGCTGGCGACGACGACCGCCAGCGAAGACCAGATCTGACCAGGCAGACCAAGTCAGGTCAGACATACCAGGCCAGGTAGAGACACATTGCACCATATACCAAAATGACAAAGCAGGCCAGGCCCGACCCGACTAGTCCAAACAGATCAGACGGTCCGAACGCACCAGACCAGATGCAGATCATACGTATCAGACATGTCGCATTAAATAATGAAGGCGTCCCTGAACAGGCTGGACAGAGCAGACCACACCAGACAGACAAGCAAGACTTGAAAAATCAAAGAGAGGCCAGACGAACAGGACCACACAGACGGACCGTCACAGCCAAAAAGCACAGAAAGACCAAACAGACAAGACAGGCACTCGAGACGGACAGGACAGGCAAACCAGACCATGTGCACGAACACACACACACACACACACACACACACACACACACACACACACACGCACACAAACGATCAGAAATACCCCACAGACCAGCAAGTAGCCCATGAACCAATAAGACCAGCTAAGACCGTCTGAGCAAACAGACAAAACTGACCAGACCAAACTGGATCGGACAGACCAGACACACCAGACCAGGAAGATCAGACATACTAGGCAAGCCAGACGAGGCCTGACCCGACACCCCAGACTGACCGTGCCAGGCAAGACAAATCAGACAAGCAGGCCAAGATCAGACCAAGCCCAAACAGAATTGACCATGCAGACATGACGACACAAGCCAAACCATGCTAGGTAAACGTGTTTTTGGCCAGATGCTATACAGATCAAGCAGACAGACAGCGCACACGTACAACTCTGACCAGACCAACGACCAAGCAGACCAGACCAGAAAAACAGACCACCCGCCTCCTCTCCGCAGCAGAGCGCACATATCTCGCCCGCAAGCTGCGGGAAACAGCCGCAAAGCAACGAGCGGACTTTCCCTTACAAGCCAGACAGACAGACAGACAGACAGACAGACAGACAGACAGACAGACAGACAGACAGACAGACCGACAGACCGACAGACCGACAGACAGACAGACTAGCAGAAGGAAAGACACACACAAGCACACACACACACTTTCTGACTTTCTACGTCGCAGCGCGGCAGGGGCCGTCCGCACGCGCGTCCAAGCAAGCCTGGCCACAGCAGTGCGACGTGCCCCGACTGCAAGAGGGGAGGACAAGAAGAGGGCTGGCCGCGGAGGGTGAGCAGAACGGGGGGGCAAGCACACTCGCGTGACTCACGCGGCGAGGCCGCATCGGAGCGCGGGGGGCGGCCGAGCCGATGCAGCAGCCCCTGGCAGCGGGCGCGGGACAGCACGACGAAGGCACCCAAGGGTGGGCATAGCGGCTGCAGTGCAGGGTCGGCGCCCGGCGAGCGTGAAGGGTGGAGGCCAGAGCGGCAATAATGACGGCGACCCCAATAAACTGGGAGAGGAGCCAGTGCGGCTGCTTGGCGGGGTGCGCGGGTGAGCTGTAGCGGCGGACTGGGGGCCGCGGTGGCTCGCCGGGCTGGGCGACGCAGCAGTAGCGCAGGCGGGGCGCGGTCGCAGCGTAAGCTGGGCGGGGGGCCTGGAGGAAGAAGCGGGCGAAGAGGCCCGGCGCAGCCAAATACGGCCTGTTGGGAGGCGCGGGACCCAGGCGGCCGCGGGGGCGGCGCGTGGGAGCCACGCGAAAGGCCGCGGGCGGACAGGGCGGGGGAGGCGGGAGGCAGCAGAGCCAGGCCCAGGCCGGGGCACGCCTCACAGCCAAGGGGGGGGGCGGCGCCCAGCCCGAGCGGGAGCAGGGCGGAGGCTCCCAGCGGCGAACCGCTGGGAAGCAAAAGCGGGAGGGCAGCGCAGGAGCGGTGCCCCCCGCGCGGAGGTGGGACACAGCGCCACCGAGCAAGCGCCCCGCGCCTGGTGGCGCAGGGGCGTGCCTGCTGGGCGCCCCCGTCGGCCCGTGTGGCGGCGTGTGCACCAAACGGGGCCCGGGGAGCAGGGGCCCCGGGCAACGTGCGCGGGAGGCGAGTGCGCCCGCGGCAGAACGAGAGGCGCACCACCTGGGGCGGATGGCGCGCCCCTCCCAAGGAGAGACCAGCAGCGCCGAACCGGTGCACACGCAGGTTGAACGAGGCGCTGGGGCGAGCAGCCGCAGCAGGAGGGAGGCGCGCCACCTGGGGTGGATGGCGCGCCCGAAGGGCGGGGATAAGCGCACCACCTGGGGGGGACGGCGCGCCGAGCGGGCAAGCACCGAACTGGTGCCCAAGCAGGTTTGCATTAACCGCCTGTGGCGTCGATCCGTCGGATTGAGCTGGGGTGGCCAATCCGTGTGCGGACGCCACAGTCGCCGCTTGCAGACCAGGGTTGCCAAGCACAAGGTCATTGATGTTCCCTTCCAGACACAGACCAGGTATACGACCAACCGTCGCACGAGCAGGTGGAGATGTGTCATCAAGTGTCACAGGTTCCCCAAAAAGACAAGGGCTGGCCATTCTGGGTACAGTCAACCCGTATCATGAGGACGCACGGTAAGGATGCAAGGGCCTTGGGAGGCCACGTCGACACTTTGCGAGCGGGGCGCGGCCGGCGAAAGCGGCCAAGGCTGGACCGAGGGGGCAAGGATGCAATGGTACCCTTGGGAAGGTTGCCCATCCTTACTATGCGGATTGACTGGTACAAGTGGCACTGATGATGCCCCGACCCCAGAAGAGGGGGGCTGGCGGAGTCCAGGTACAGAGCGAAAGAGACAGGCACGCGACTAACCGTCGCACAAGCACGTGGATCGACGACCGCCAGCACCTGTGGCTCACCAGCGTGACCTGGGCAGGCCACGCTGGATCCCGATAGGCCTGGCGGCGGAGCGGGACAGGGCCTCATGACTCCAGTGGGCGCGGAGATGCCGCCAGGCTCTCCGCTAGGGGGAGGAGGAGCAGGAGGAGGAGGAGGAGGAGGAGGACAGGGCCTCATGACCACAGCGGGCGCGGAGATGCCATCAGGCTCACCAACAGGGCACGCCCGGACCAGGATTCCGAGGGGAGTCCAGCTGTGGCGACAGGGGAGGCGCTGCCGTCCTCAAACAGAGGCGACCAGAGGGCAGGGGACACACACACACACACTCACTCACAAACGCAAACACA